ATATGTTTTAACTAATGTCACTTTTAAAAAGTATACTTTAAGCCAGGCATGTGGCACATGCCTGTAATCTCAGCACTTGGGAGGCTGAGGCAGGAGGATCACAAGTTGGAGGCCAGACTGGGCTACACAGTGAGTTCAAGGACAGCCTGAACTACATAATGAGACTTTGTCTCAAAAAAAAAAAAAAAAAAAAAAAAAAAAAAAAAAGTATACTTTGGAGTTTGATGCTGGAGGCCCCTGACTATGAAACTGTCACTACTATCATTGATTTTTGAGATATTTTAAGATAATATGCAATCAATTCTTTTTGTTTATTTGTTTGTTTTCTGAGACAGGGTAATGCAGGCTGTTCTTGAACTGTGTAATCCAGGCTAGCCTCATGCTCATGGTGATCCTCTTGCTTCAGCCTCCTAAGTGCTGAGACTACTGGCATGTGCTACCATTAAATTCTTATGTTCTTATTTGATCCTTTAAACATGGTATATTTCACTTATTTATATTCTGTGATAATGAGCTAAATGGATATTTTAAATTAAAACATTTTTGAAATGTAACACACATTAAGTATTTACCCAAACAATAGGTTGCAAGCCAAGCGTGGTAGCACAGTCCTATTGTAGGATTCTAGGAGGCAAGAATATTTCAAGTTTGAGCCATACCTGGCTACTTAGCGAACTAGCAAAACCCTTACCCAAAATTAAAACAATAAAAAGGGATGGGGATGTCACTCAGCAGAAGGCCTTGGATTCAATCCCCAGTACCTCAAAAAAAAAAAAAGAGTAAGTTTTGAAAAAAAGGATGCCAAATTAGCTTCCCTGAAGATCTGAAATTTATACTCCTACACTGTGTAAGAGTGCCTGTTTTCCCAGCTGTTGTCAACTCAGTACAACAAGCTCTGCCAATACATGACCTGAGAAGCTGTACATAAACACAGGCAAGTTACAGTTCTATTATAAGTGAGGTGGAGCACATTCTTATCCATATAAGAACAATCTGTATTTCCTTTCTGTGAGATGTCTTCATCTTTTACCTGTTTTTCTTTTCTTTTTTTGGTGGGGGTGATGTTCTTAGACTTCAGTGATTTTGGAGATCCTTATACTTTGGAGATAAATTAGTTTTTCCCCAATAAAGGGAAAAAGCACGATATGGTATCATATAGTAAATAATAAATATTTGTAGCACAGAATGGCATAGTATAAAAAGCACAATAGTAATACAGATGTATGCACTGGGTTTTACAGAAATATTAGCAAACTCAGGGGCAGGTGAATAATGTACAAGGAGTAAGATACATAATTTAAGATTAAAGCCATGTGAAATTCAAACATACCCTCAACATTTCATCTTCAGAATATGCAATCTATTAAGCATTTTAAAAGAACTTTCTAGCAATCCAACATTTGCGAGGCTGAGGAAAATTTGAGACCAGCTTGGGCTACACAGTGAGTTCAAGACCAGCCTGAACTACATAGTGAGGCTTTGTTTAAAAAAAAAAAAAATGAAAAAAAAAAAAAGACCAAATTCTATCAAGTTATAAAATTATTATAGAGCTAAAACATTAAAGATATGAAGGCAACCTAAAATGTTACAGTAAATCGCTTTAGAAACTGGGCTGCCACTTTTTAAATTAAACAGCCAATCAAAGAAGTCAGGGGTTGGCAAATATTTTTTTTTTAACGAGCCAAACTAAATGTTTTAGTCTTTGCAAGTCAGTCACATTTTGTTTCTTTTTCCTCCTCCTCTTGCATTCTTAGCCCACGAGCATTCAAAACCAGGTTGTGTTGTGAATTTGGCCATGTTATAGTTTGCTTATACTAAGTGATATACCAAAATTAGAACAGTCTTTGTTTTATCCACATTATCACCTACTTGTACATAATCAATTCCAGCACTTTCCTCTATAGTTGGCTCAACAGCCCCTTCAACACATAACCTTTCTCCTAGACAGAATTTTTTCCAGCCTTCTTCATCCTCAGATTTTGGCTGAAAGAAAAAAAAATTACTTATTTCTATGTATTTATATTTATACTGCACAGTAAAAAAAAAAAAAAAAAAAAAAAAAAAAAAAAAACACCCCCA